TCCCAATCAAAGAGGATATAACACTCTTAAACCTATAATTTTTTTTTCTAAACTCAATATAAGTTGGCTTATTATTTTTTTGGAACTGAACTAAATTCTAGTCATCACATGAATAACAATAGCTAATGTTTCATGTGCTCTCAATAGATCTAGGCTCTGCCCTCATTGCTTTGCAACTACATTTGGGTTTAACACAACAAACCCAATGAGATGGGTTGTTATCCATTTTGCAGACGTGGCACAGAGGTTAAGCAACTTGCCCCAGACTGCTCCCCCAGGCCCTGGAGGAGCTGGGCTCCCGTCCCTAGCAGTCTGCCTGCAGAGCCCCGGCCCCCAACCACAGCACCAAGGGATTCTCAGCCCCGACACTGCTGACATGTTTAGCAGCATCCTGGCCTCTTCCCACGAGATGTCAGTTGCCCTCCCCCAGTGTGACTACTAAAAATGTCTCTGGACATCCCCAATGCCAGGGGTGAGGAGCAGAGAGCCCCCCTCACCGCCTGAGAAGCTCTGCCCTACAGGATCCACTATCCTCTCCCGTGCATGTGAGAAAACATCCACGTCAGTGCCGAGCCTCCTACAGGCCAGATTAACTAATGTTTTAGGGAACCTCAGGATGACTAGAACAGTGCCTATCGTTGTGCGAGGAAGGTATGGAGACCACTGGGGACTGAGGGCTGGGGTGGGAAGGCGGGGGCCCCATCCAAGCGCCTGGAGCTGGCCATCTTATCTGTTGAGCTACAGGAGGGAACCAGAGCGACCTGGTGCTGCCTGTCCCCCAATGCATGACTTTGCCTGCACGCTTGGTTGCCTTGGCCCTGCTGCAGAGAAGCTAGCATGCCAGTGCCCTTCAGACATACTGTGCCATGCTTGATGGGGTGGGGTCGCCCTGGGTGTTTCCGAGCTCGCTCACAGGAGGCGGCGGCAAGAATCTGCATGTGCCTGTGCGGTTTTCTCCCAGCTGGAGGGAGGGGACACCAGGTTTCATGCGTCTGCGTTTGGGCATTTATAGGACAGCAGTTGTGTTATTCAAAATTTCTAGAGGATTCTTAAGTTGGAGACAGACTTAACTCGATCTGGCCTTGCAGAATCTCCAATGTGAAAGAGGAGAAAGAGTTCACAGTGTAAGAGGAAAGGGGGGTGCTTTGTGCTGAGCCCTCAAGTTCGGGCAGGTTAGGGGCGTTGGGACAGAAATCCTTGGGGAGGGGCCGGGTACCTGAGAGAGAGCAAGAATGACTCTGTCAGGATCCGTCTGCCTATTCAAGTTTAGCTTAAGATGGAGAATTCTGACCACATAAAGTCTGTTTTTAATAAAAGCCAGAGCAGGAATCCTACCAAATGCAAGCCAGAAATGGGGTTTAAGACTTCAAAAAAAGAAAGACAGACAAAGATGAAAGAGAGAAAGAAAGAAAGAAAGAAAGAAAGAAAGAAAGAAAGGAAGAAAGAAAGAAAGAAAAGTTGAGGGAAGCTCTTGTTGAATTTTTACCTTGTTCTGTTTATTTATATTCTCTTTGCCCTCCCTGATTTGCCTACATTTTTTCTATGAAAAACTTTAAAAAGCTGAAATGCCATTATCCATCATCTCCAGGAAGACAGCCCTTCGCTTTATGAGAAGGAAGTTTGATTCCCCCCACCCCCACCCCAGTTCTTTGCTTTCTTAAGGGCCCTTTCTCCTCTTTTATCTGAAACCAGAAACTCATAAAATGACAGGACATCATTGGGCATGTGCCTGTGCAGTTTTCTTCTGGATAATTCCCGACTTCATTAGCAAGTTATGATCTTGACTTTTAAGAGCCTATACAGTTTTATTTTAACCCAATTCAAAGGTAATGAAAGCACATGAATTGTACAGAAACCAGGAGCCTTCTGCTTAAAAAAGAAAAGAAGGAAAAATATGATTCTATCTTTCTATTGCCATGTAAAGACAGAGGGAGGACAGAGGCTGGTGGAGTCACTTTTGGCCCAGCTCTTCTCAGCTGCTCAAGCTGCTCTGGTTCATATGCATGGAGCCTTTCGGGGAGGGAGCTGGAAATATTACAAACTACACGCCTGTTTTAATTAATTCCACCTAAACTTGGGGAGTGTCTCGGTCCCAGAGAGACTCACCAGCACGGATACTTCTGTCATTAGTAACTTGAGTTTCACAAATCCGATGTGTGGGACATTTTCTGTTGCCAGAGTATGTGGGTCGCCCCTCTCGCCCCACGCAACCTCTGTGGAGGGGTTGAACCTGTTGGACAATCCCAGCCAATCATGTCCTTGCTCAGCAAGATGATCTTAAACATACACCACCACCTGGTGAGGGGTCCTGTTCTCTTACTTGAAGCTCCTAACTCTTCATCATGCACTAACTTTAGGGCCGATGTAGCTATTTTCAGTTACAACTTGGTAAAATTAGGTAATTGAGAATCACAGCCTTGGCCACGAACAGAACAAATGAACTGAATCGGAGTGTTTTCCCTGGCAACAGCCGATTCTGGCGTTATTTCGCGCATTTGTCTTCTCCCCTTTCCTTGGGCTGAGCTATTTTGCAACCGTCAGAGGGGGGATCAGAGTGGGAGGAAGGGTCTCTATCCAAGGAAAAGCAGACTTCATTGACCTCACCACTCAGTCTTCTGTTTTTAAAAAGGTTGAAAAATAGAAGCACTGTCTTGTAACCACCCTCCTCACCAAGGCTGGTGGTGTCTTCTGAAAATGGCAAAACTGAATCATAGGCAAGAATGTGGCTTTTCCTCCAGCTCCTCCTCATGACAGTAACACAACATAGGAACCAAGAAATGCTCCACTGAAAGCCTCTGGTGAGGCCCCACGAGGACACTGCATCCTGTGCTGCATGATGGCCCCGGGGTGACCTCCACATTACCCCAGGGTTTCCCACGTATGTCCTCTCATTTAGGCGGTTTCCTTGACTCTGCAGGGCACACATTGAGCCCCACCACAGTCCCACATTCTCAGTAACTCACCACTAAGCCAATCATGGCAAATGATACAGAAATCTCTCTACACAGAGACAGTCTGTGCACTCACGTTCTATTCTTTACGGAGATCAAAGCCATTTGGTTCTCTTTACCGTTTAGTTCATTCCTACTATAAACGTTTGGCCTGCTTGCCCGATGGGCTATAATTCCTTCACGTATTTCATATGTTGATTCGATTGACAGTTAACACAGAGTCCCTTTCACTTATGGGTAAGGTCTCCTTGTTTTGTTGTGTTATTTCAGCCAGTCCCCCGAAGTGTGAGTAAAGACAAACCCACAATTCTTATGAGTGTCTTTGCATCCCTAACATCAAGGTTTGGTGCCATGAAGGATGAAGCAGCTGAACCTTGAAGTCGGGGGCACAGGGCCCACGGACAGTTAAGCGACTCGTGTGACTAGCCTATGTCTGACTCCCCCGAGCCATGTCCTGGGAACGTCCCGCCTTGCTCTCTCCTCAGCAGCCCTGTTAAGAGTGTGACTCCTCTTAGCAGCTGGGTGCTATTTGGACAGATGATGAACTCGTCTTGTGATTTCCCATCTCAGCCACGCATGAGCTTTCTGTTTTCCCCACCGTCCTTCCCCTTTAAAGAACAAACAAATAAATTCATGATTAGGAATTTGGATTTTTTTTCAGGGAACAGTTTTTATTTTTAGCAACTGGCTTCAAAAGTCAAAAAAAAAAAAAGTCCTTTTTTAAAAAAAAGGTATGATTGCCCAGAATAAAATCAACTCTGAGGTATTCTTCCTGATGCTTAATATTTCAGGCATCTCCTGAGGCTACTGTGTTCCAAAATTTGTTACTGAAATCCCCAGCGTAATTAATAACT